TGGGAAAATGAAGTTCTGACTCTAGAGGCCTTTCGAGCTATGCCAAATACTAGCAGGCCGCGGTGTGTAGGACGACCGTCACGAACAAGGAGTGGCAAAACTTATTCGGCAACATCGAACTCAGCTTTGACTGCTGCTCAACCTGTCGCGCGTTTTAGGTATCTATTTTTTAACTAAAAAACGAATGAGCTTTTCATAATATCTTCTTTACCACCTATTATAGCATAGGTACGTATAGGTATAGGTATAGGAATTAGTTTATGCAAGCATTCGTGTCTGTAAATACCGCTTAGACACATCACGTTTCTAGAAGCAAGAAGTAGATTCCCCTTTAGAACTAATCCGATAAATATTGCATAGATTGTGGTGAAATGTGCAACCGCATGAATTTTTTGTTTGCTCCGAAACATTTCTTGCTCGAAATCCTACGCATCAATTTCAATGAGTCATTTTCTAACCAAAATAATTATCAAGGTTTTTTTTTGGTAGAATAAATGAAATGTTATAGCAGAGACTCATTCTTAGCCCTTTATGACGAGATGTATTGAGCAATTTCATATTTTTTTGCAACGGAATATGTATAGCGAAGATTCTGTGACATCAAAAATGGGCACTTAAATTTTAAGTTTAATTAGACGAAGTTGAGGCGCCAAAAAAGTGCTGGACAGAAATCGCTCGCAACTGGAGACGTCAACGATGATATCGTTCTTATTAAGAGGTTCGTGTTCTTGTAAATTATCACAGTTACCTCTCCACAGTATAGGTAACATTGCCCGATTACTAGCTTAAACACTAATCTCATTGCTAGTGATTACTGCATTTTACACATCTAACTGTTTTTAGTGGCCATCGTCGTAGCAGATCGTCAACGCCCCCAATTTTGGTGTACGGTTGATTTATTATAGAAATATTTTATGAAAATGAATATTGGAGAGTAGTTGCTTTTTTAACTGCCACAAAATTCTGGTCTTGTCTTAATACTGTTTCGAACTGGTGCACTTCGGATCTACACAAATTGATTTGCAGAGTTGCTGAAAATACTACGGCTTCATTTGTACCAATAAAAATTGACAATAACCGCAGTGCAGAAACTTTTACCCTGCCAACATGTAACTGGGGGGAGGCGATTAAAGCAGGTGAGCTTCCCTCTCAGGTTCGAGTGAAAAGATCCTATATATTCATCGTTTCTTTAGCAGTTCGTTCTTCGGATAGCACAGAAATTCTGAACGCTCTTGCACTGGGCATCATTATCAAGGAGGCTTCAGGTAGGTTTTCGTATTCATCCCAAATAGTTCCATTGCGGTGTGATTTGATTCCAACGCATGTATTGCCCAGTATGAGATAAGCTTCCATCACACTACTTCCATTTGTTTGTTTTGCTCCACGAAGTTTTTCTGCTATACTTTTTGTGTTCAGTCGACAGCTGCCACACCACACGTGTTTTAGCAACCTTCTGACAATGAAATCTTTGCACATGAAGGCTTACAAAAGTTACCCTCACATGAATTTTTGCGTCCTTCGATAAGGCTTTTCCTACCGGAGCAGGTAATGGGATAGCTTCTGCCAAAGAGGCTGTTGACGGTGAGAAGAGTGTTGAGATACGCCGCGATGTGCGCGCAGAATTGGCGTACATGCTTCCAAACACAATATCTTTGGAAACGTTACGCAGCTTTTTTGTGTTCAGCTCTGGGTTAATATGAAATGTAAAAATGTTGAAATACGCTTAGCATATTTTGTGACGCCGATTAACAAAGGCAAAGAGCATAGTCGTTGGTGGTAGGCAAGTACTTTTTCGTCGCAGCCAACAGGTGATATTGTTTTCATCGAATTTTGGTACGAAATGTACAGGAGGCGGTCGGTCAACTTCCATTGGTGAGGATGGTGGAGCTTCTACGATTTGATTTCGGTTAAGGATGGGTGTGGTACCACACTGTCATCATATCAAATCATACGCCATAACCAAATTGTGGAACACGTTGATGTAAAAGTCGACGCCATTCTCCACCTAGAAAGAGCATTGTGGCAGATTTCACTGGCGATTCTATTTGCATTATTTCAGTTCTTTCTCCAGTCAATCTGGCCGCATTCGCTCAGCTCGTCTTCAATCTTTTGGGAGTGGAGACGTCAATTAACATCTTTGGTTAGTGTTTTGATATATTTCCATTATTATGTACAATCGTACCTAAAGTGTGATCTATTACTCTGGATTCTCTTTGGGATTTGCTGCTCTTATACAGAGGTGAATTCACGGATCCTCAACTACACTGAGCACGGAATCTGTTCACTGGTCCTATTTCACGCGTAGTTGTTTGTTTTTCTTTTAATTTGGCTAATTGTAATAATTTTCCAGTAGTATTCAGCTGAAGCCGTCTTGTTATTCTTGTGCTACATAATTCCATCTGACAATAACAAAAAATTATGATAACTTAAAAACCGAATTCCTTTAAACGTTGACATAATCACTCAATACTTAAATAGGATTGTTAAGCATGCACGAGGTTGGTAACTGGATTTTTTCGGGTAATGTTTCGGTGCTTCCACCTTCTTGCTCTGCTTGGACGACTGCCGCAGGATTCGTTGCTTCTGGAAAAGCAGATCATACTGTGGGCAGTGGGCAACTGGTCGTTATCCGCCTTGTTTGAGGAGGCACCGCCGGCTATTCAAACTTCATTTGAGTGGTGCTTCCTCCACTGTATTGGACATGGTGCAACAACAACCAGCTGGCAGCCATCGATTCGAATAAACGTGACTTTGAAGAACGCGAAAGCACCGAAACGTTAGTCGAATAAATGTTTTCACCAATCTCCAGTCTGTTAATAATTCAGGAGTATTATGACTATTATTCTTCATGCAGTTTCGGCCTTGGAAATCATTATTTTTTTTTATTATTTTTTTTATTTTTGGCACCCTCATCGCAAATCGAACAGTTGAATATCGCGGGCATTCTTACAAGATCCTTCTACGTTACAATGCGTCTGTGAAATGGGGCTTTCTATTGTACAAAAGAAGCGCAGAGCAATGTTCATGGCGAACATCTCCCAGTGATTGGTAGAATTCATACAGCACCTGTTTATCGAGCTTAAATTTGTCTTATACATTGCAAACGACTACTAGATTGAAATTTTCGAGTATCTCTACCATCTCTCTAGCAGTTTTTAGACGAGCAAATTTGATTATCAGCTGATGCCAACGATCGCCTCCATGATTACTCATATCACTGCTTCAAAACCCTACGCACTATCTCTACTATTTGACGTACATATGCCCTTCCGTATTCTGTGCTATAATGACATTTCGAGTTGTTAGTGCTTTATGTCCGTGTTTGAACTTACGGAACGCAGTGATTTGGTTTTCATATCTTGAGAGCGTCATTTCAACCATCCTATAACGAAATTTTTAGCGACGAATTGTCGAGCAAGAAGTAAGCTTTAAAAGGTGCACGTCAACAATGAATGCAACATTTATTTGTCCGGAAGTTTTTTTCTCTGCAGAACCAGAAACACGACCATTATTTTTATCGAGAGTTTTCAGGAAAGATTATGGACGGCGGTGCATCAACGCTCCCTGCAAATTTTACCACAATATTTGAGCGAACGACTCCATTACAACTTCGTCACCGTAATTGTGTTCTCCATACAAACGATTTCTAACGTTTTCTTAGAATTAGGGTCGTTTTTAGGCCTTGACTACAACTCCTTTAGCTCCATGCTGATAGGCCGTCTTCCGGAGAACGGTTTGCATGCACTTACACTGGATTCGCGTAAAGTTTGTAATGTTTTATAATCTCTTTCCACATTTTGATGCGACATTATTATAATTTTAGGTGAGCATGCTTAAAATCACAAAGTTCATAGACACAATAACTGAAGCAGTCGACGAAGTCTGCGAACAGTTAAGGACGCGTAATGATTTGTCGAAAGGAGAGATGGAGATTGAAAAGGTGTTTTCGTTACCAAATTCTTTCATGTAGTTTACGCTTCATCTCAATGCATTCAGATGAATTTGCTGGAAATATGGTAAATTTCGAGATTCTCGGTAGTTTACTGTTTGTACTGCTTTTTTTGAAGATTTGAGTTGACCGCTATGTGTTAACTGCGATCTCAATATTTTTTGCTAATAACAGGACTTGTCATCTGATGTACATCAGTTAATAACATCTCGCTACGTAGAGACAATGATGAAGCTGGCAGACAAGTGCAACGAGGCCGTTGACGTACACTTAGAAGTTATCGCTGATCGCTTCGTGAGTGTTTAGTTCCTATGTGGTCGAAATTTTTGATAAGCCTATGACAACACGATATGCTATGTCCTACTCAGGCCGAAAGAATTTTTGTTTTACGCCTAGTAATTTCCGAGTAAAACTGTTTTCAAGTAGTTTTTTTAATTTATACCACCTCGTAGGCTGTTGTTAGTACGCGAGTTTAGAGATCTTTCCGTTGTGGAAAGTGGCTCCCTGAGAAACGGCCCTAAGAATCTCTGTTGTAGAAATACAAATCCGTGGTTCTCAGTGTGAATCCCTCTTTTTTGTGTTGGCGAAGTAATACAAGGAATGATGCTAGTGAGAAAATTAGTTGTTGTGACAACGCATTTTGTGTTCAGTGCAATCCATAACGGCAAAAAATTGGGGTCCACTTTGGTGCAGAACGTGGAAATTCGATGTCGCTAATGCGTTAATTCTGCTTAAAATGCTATTACCTTCCTTACGTTATTCAGTAACAATATGGTATAGTCCCACTGGAAAATCTTAATATGTCACGTCTATCGTCCCCGTTATCAGTTTTGTTAATGGATGGTGCCTCCACGCGGTCAGTGTTGTGTTCAAGAGCTGCCTAGAGCTTCGTTCTCTCCAAAGACATTGGTCGAAATCTACACGCGGATAACTTTCTGCACTCTGTCGAAGTAGACTCAAGCTTTATTAGTTGGAAGTGTTAACATCTTGTTTATAATAATCTCCAGTCGCTTTATTGAAGACCTTTGCTCAAGCCGTCTGTATAATTCCTCACGTACGCATGAATACACTTACGGACCGCTATGATGCACAGACGTACGAAGTTCAGTTCAGCAGAAGAGAGACGGGTACTACATGTTTTGAGTCTACCAATAGGTCAAAGATTTGCTCAGCTCCATTTGGATGACGCCTAGTTTATCTCCACCCCTGGGTGCGACATTTTAAGTTCCCTTGTATAGAGAAAATTTGCGAAATTCAAATGCAGATATAATTTTTGTGTTTTCTATGAATGGCTAATTTCGTTCTTGTTATTGCTGATATGTTTTGGCTACGGTACACGAGTATATAATGAGAGCAATGTTGTAAAAAAAAATGTTTCGGGTGCTTTTACTGAGTTGAAAGCGTTAACCCTACAATTTCGGGCTTCTGTCCACATTGTAAAACTATTTCTTCTAACAAGGTTGTATATTAGTGTCTCGCGCTCAAGGCATAGAAAAGACGAAGTGGCCCAAGCTCTGTCCATTCACGCACAGCTCTTATGAGCGCAATAACTCATGATGAGTTTTCTGAAATCGGTCCATTCTATTAAACAAGCACTCTTTTTTTTAGAGTTATACATTGATAGAAATCATTTTAGCATCTTCTCTTGTACGGATGGGATTCTTTTCTTCAACAAGGCGGAGTTTTGCGCGTGCGGTTGCAGCTCTCTCCAGGCAAATCTCACCCAGGAATAGTTGACATCACCACTGGTTGGCTAGATCAAATAGGTTAAGTACTTACTTCACTGGAATTCCGGTTGTACTTGTAAAAGAAAACCAGTCACAATAAAGGGCATTATCATCATTGGAGGAGAAGTGTTAAACTACACTAATTTCGGCTATTCATATCACTAAGCAAGTTTTATTGTCTATGTTGGCATATGAAAAGCAATATAAAAACAAGTTGAAACGTTCACTAGATGGATGAGGTTAAATACTTGTCCTGTTGTAGATGCGGTTCTATCTCGAGCGCAAGCAACATTGTCCACAAGGACGTCGGCTTTCGCCGTTTCATTAGCTCAGGAAAAGAATGTCATGAGCAAGATTTGGCACAAAATGACTGCTCAAACCAGCTCCTCGTGTGATGACGAGTGAGTTTAGTCATTACGAAATCATATTCAGATACCTAAGAAACACTTCATTGCTAGTGGTCCAGCCAACGATTTGGTTAGGACTAAGGTTCTATCTTCCATTTTCACAACGTCCCTTTTTTTTTTATCTGGTCACCCCATAGAACGCAAGTCTGAGCCTCGCTGTCACTAATCTCTTCTTCCTTTGTATATATATATATATATATATATATATATATATATATATATAACGACTTTGTCTACCCAATGCGTTATTTGCTGTTCACTGGTTCACTCGTTTTTGACCTCGTCTGGTTAGATATTCGTCTTAAGTGAGCAATTAATTTGCCCTTTCAGGACAGTTACTGAGCAACAGTTTTCATTTGTTTTAACCCTTTTATTTGCTGCCTATTCTTTTTAAGGCAGGGTATTTTTCGAAATATAACTATTATAGTGCTGAGATATTTGCAAAACTCCGCAGGTGTCTGTGGTGGGGGATGAACGCACTATTGTCCTTTCAGGGAAGTAACGCGTTCACCACCACATCATGCGGGTCCTTCGTTTCCCGTTGACGGGTGATTGCTCGATAATCGATAAAACTAGCTGAGAGACAGGCCAAACGAAGGACCTGTATGGTATGGTGGTGAACGCGTTACTCCCCGAAAAGAACAATAGCGCGTTCGTTCCGCACCCCATACACCTGCGGTCCGGAGTTTTGCAAATATCTCAGGATTATAATAGTTTTCATTTAACCAGTATTGTTTGCACCATCCTCTCTTTTCTCGTATTTATCGCGCTGGTTTGCAATATTTATGTGGCTGTTAGCATTAACGATATTGTCGACGTGCATTGAAATGCGTGTCACTGTTTGCTATACACTTTCTTAAAAGGTTAGTGCGAATAACGAGCAACCTTCCTTTCGCTAAATGTTTCAACATTTCCGATATCACGGAATTCTTGATTGCCACCATTCTGCTAGAGCATTCTATTTATAGGTGCGCGGAGATCTTTCCGTTAATTGTTAGCGATGTTCGTATTCATAATTCACCTCCCTCGCACCAAGACTCACCTAGTTGTGTACCCAACAGATTCTCCATTCGAGAGGAGTTTGAGCTGCGAAATGTCGAATTTTCTTGTATGGTTCCACATTCCATGTGATTTTATCACTGGAATTCCTATGAGTGAACTCAGCAAGTTAATTAATGAGATGTTCCTACACGCACATTTTCCACTTCTAATATTAGTATGTTAGGACAGCAAGGACAGTTAGGAACAATGTAATGCTTATTAATACCGAATTTAATTGAAAGACGGTCTTTTCAGTTGTTGCTAGCAATTGATTATTTGAAATCTACAGAATTGTTCACAGTGTGATTGATTAGGTTTGTCATGTTCGATTTACAGAATTGCTTTCTTTGCAGTTACGAAATGTTACTAACTATTGGCAATTTGGTTGAATTTTTGTTTGTCCAATGTTTTCCGGTGAAAAATTTTATCCCCGGATCATCGCTTGTACTGACGTCAGTGTTATGCATCAACTTCGTTAGCATTTTCCAGGCTTACAACATCAACATGAAATCGCCTTTAGTAGATTAGCTTAAACACAGTATTACGAGTACTGTCTTTGCCATTATTTCTGTTTAGGTCATTCATTCATTGTTCTGAGTGCAAACTGTTCTTTCACAATGAGGATACGGATTTCATGCATAACAGAGTATTTCATCATAAATCAAGAGAATGCGAAGAGGTTAGTTCTTATATCGTTTGAAGCCAATGATAAGGTTTCAAACCCGTTTTTTGTGGTGGTTTATGCATCCATGTGTTCGTGTACCATTTCCAGTGCTACGACATGTTCCACACTTTACTAGGATTAGATCTACATATGGTTGGGCGTCATAAACGTACCTTCGTCGAGGATTAGCAAAGCCTGAAACAAAAGTCGAAATATGTGTCTTTATAAAGAGTGTATGTTTTTTGCGATTAAAATGCTGACGTGAAGATTTTTCAACGTATTGAAGGATTTTTGGTTTATTTGAGCTTTACGCCGCCTTCAACTTTTAGTCAACATATCACAGGTCGTTACAAATCTGTTTGCCATAAAAACTGTTTGGACCTACACCTTGCAGGGTATGAGGCCACTTGCTTTATAGCGATGAAACTCTGATTTTCAGAGACCTCTACATCTTTTCAATCCATTTTTCTTCAAGGCTCATATTTCGAACATGGAAGGAAATTAGTAAACGACATCTCGTCAAGCAGGGCCTCATTGTGTTCTCCAATGTATCATTCGTATTTGCAGCTGTCGCTCTTACATTAGAAAATTTGAAACCTTGCACATCGTTTACAATTTTTCTGACATTGCTGATTCTTTACAATTTCAAAAGGTGTTATATAAAATCTGTATCTACTAAAAGTGTGATAGAGCAAGATCCCTTCTATGAGTCTGTAAAGTTCTGGACCCGCAAAGTACTTTATTGATAGAAGTTGCTCATCGCTCATCGCACGAAGCTCATCGCACGTAGTTTTAAGTGACGTGCTCCCATGCATCACCCGTAGTGCGCTTTGCACTCCAGTACTTTTCAACGCTAACATTTTTTTCGTTTCGCTTCAAATGGCATGTACGAATTATCATTATATGTAAATTCTCTGTGTCTTTAGTATTCACTTAATTCTCAGTTCTCGAGTTCTTGTACGGTCTTAACCACATATTCGTTGTATTGTTGCTACTGGTTTCGATACGTTGTTTTTATTCTATTAGTTTACTGTTTATACAAAGATTCAATTGTATAAATTTGAGATACACGCTGTGAAGGCAAGTAATCCATGCGTGGCACTGGCGAGCGACGACAGGCAGTCCCCAACCTTGCATTATACTACAGCTCGTTCGAGTGACCAATTTAGTCTTGAGCATTGCTCTTCGAAAGACAACGTCATGGGATCACAATCCATGTACATCCTTGAATATACTGCAACATGTTGCCAGGACAGGACATTTTCTCCTTTTCGCGAGAGGTGAAGCTTTTCACGAAAGAGGCAATAGTATAATCCCCTTTAGAATTCTAGGATAACCGCAGCATACCTTAGACAAGGTTGTCGATTTACTATGATGTGGTCTGTTTAATTATGGTACTCTATTCAAGAGTTCGACGTCCATCGTTGAGAGTGAGGCTTCTGATATTGTAAGTTACCATGAATGGTCTTGGTCGTCATGATAAACTCAGACCGCAGCTCGACTTCCTTATTCCATCCTAATACGTTGGTCCCAACGTGGCGTTCTTCAGACGTTCTTCAAGGTTTAATCTTAACGTTGAGATCTTCAATGATAACCTTGAAATATCTATGGTCATCCATGCAGAACCTGTCCAGGTCGGAACAGAACATTTCGACTTCACTTTCATTATAGATTGATGTCGGTTCGTCGACGGAGATTGTCAAAACCGTTTTTGATCCACATCTCTTCAATCGTAAATGTCCCATTCGAAATGTTAGTTGTTGGAATGGATTGGTGTTTACAGTGAAACTTATGTTCCTATGCTGCCAACTTCTCCATTGTCGCATGTTCCAAGGAGGTGTCTCTCTCCGGTATCACTAACGGAGTTGAATGGATGGCGTCTTCTCGTCTCAGCCAGTCCGATGGAAGTGTACTTTATCTTTCTTGCTTGTATAATAAAAGGCGCGTGTGACGCAGTGGTCGGAGGCGCCCTGCAAGCCACATGCGGAATCAATCCACGCGCCCATGTCCCACCAAGCCCTCCATCTCTTCGGGGGCGGCAATTTGGTACCAGACTTGTCTGGAAGGATAGCAACACTGGCTCGATACATCGGCAGGCCACCGCGAGTCACTGTAAAAGCCAGACATGCGTTTGATCACCAACGAGACCTAATGAAATCCAATGCATTGTGGATCCCTCAGGAATTGATCAACGCCGAGAGCTTCATCCCTTATCCTTTATCCAGGAATTAGATGCAAGTGTGCATGCATTGTATGTAGACATTGATACTTCAGTCCTTTGCGATTTATGTAGCCTAGATGGCCATGAAATTTTTTGATCCTATCCATGCTCTCCCTATCCAAAGCTACCGTACCGGAGGCTCTTTCAGGGTTAGCGAAATGAGGCCCGCTTACTTTACTATGTTTACCTTTTTGATACTTTTTTTGATAGTCTGCTGAGCTGTGGTCGTAGGGCTGAGTATACTCATGGATAGCTTGGCAGCCTCTCCCGGAGTAGACGTGGAGTTTATTTGTTGCAGGCGACTCCGCGCCGCCCTCCACGTACTTTTCTGTGATTTGATTGCAGGCTTTTGGCCGCATTGGCTCGTGGAATGCAATCCTCATGAACAAGAACACACGCACATACGCACATATGCATGATACGTCCTTTGTAAATACAGAAGGTATTTGCCAAATTGGAGCAGCAGGAACAGAGAGTCCATCCCAATCCATCTAAGTCTCACGAAAGCAAAGTTCGCTTTTGTTCCACGATTAACCCTTTATCCGCCACCTGGGGACACGCAACGTTGCCTCGCGACAATCCGCCGTGAGATCTCCGTATGATGGAGATCCGTATTCCTATTGTTCTATAACTACAAATTACCCGACATCGCTACACACTTATGCCAGGCCATTTGTGAACTAATATCACCTCACAGAAATCATATCAGTCTGTTGCCAAAGAACTAAGCACTTTGTTGAAATTCAACAGATCAACAGAACAGGTCAAGGATCTCGATCCAAACCCAGCAACATGTGTTCAGTTGTTTTATACGCTATGTAGCTATTCAATTCATGTCATAACCACCGATCAGTGCCCATAAAGTGGTTCACCGGTTGGAAATCGAATCGAGGTGGCCTGCGTAATAGGCGACTATTTCGCTATGTAACGTCGGCTCAGCACAATGCCTCATCTGAACAGTAGCCACAGCTCAGTGTAGGACATAGTATCATCACTTCAATGTTCAAACAGGTTAGCAGCAGAAAACCATAACTGCATGGTTTCCGAGAATTGTTTGCTACCTCGCTGAAAC